TGCCTGACGATGATCGACAGCCCAGAGCTCTTGAGCAACGGAGTCCACAGAAGAAGCCATCTAAGAGAGGCCTTGGGCTCAAATGGAATATATTCCACAGAAAACCGGACACAGTTCGTTCACCTGTCGACATTGACGTCCATTCTGGCCCAAAGCTTCATGCTACGGTATCTCCCGTAGCTGCCCGTAGGCCTATTCCGTACTATGCGCTGCTGGACGTTGACTCAGACCCACTTGAAGAGATAGTCCATCGTGTTGAGAACTCACCTCCGACCGAGGACGAAGAGACAGAGATTGCCTCACCTGTTGAGGCGCCAGCTGCTTTGAATATACGAAATGCTACCGATTCCATCTTGCTACCTTCACCACCGAAGCTACACGACAGCTTGTTCCGAGATCAGACCCAGTCTCCAAAGGTCTATTTTGACAAGAGCTTTACTCCTCAGAGCCTTGAAGGCAGATCGGACGATCAAGTTGAAGTTAAACGTACCAGTCGCCTAACATCGATCGGTCGCATCCCCCGGGTTGTTTCGAGAAGAGAGCGACCACACAAGCCGGCTCTGCAGTCATTTTCGAGACCATTTAGCGTGGCGGACTCTCCTTCACTACTCGCTCCAGTTGGCCCGAAGCCTACCGAATTCCCCCCTCCCATCTCGCAACCGACTACAGTGCAACAGGTCGAATCCCCGCAAAAGCAGTCTGTCTACGGCTTTGACCTAGCGAACCCCTTTGCCGACCTTTTTCAATTCAGCGTCCTAGACTTCATTGCTGGACCATATGCAAAGGATGAGTTCATGACGTTTTCGCCCAGGAAGGAATCGGTAGTATCTACTTCAAGTGGCTCCGAGAGCCTTGCTGCAATTACAGCCGTGGTTCCAAGCCCTGGGGCAGATTTGACGGAAGATGAAGTATGGGGAGAGTACGATGACCTCATTGATCATGTTCTGTCGCCCCAGACAACAAGTACGTTGTTCTCGATTGGCTCAGAGTCGGATCGAAACCTCGAGATGGCGACAATGGCTAGCAAAACGCTGCAAGCTGAATTGACTAGTGATCAGACGAAGCCCCTGACTGGTCCGGCTGATGGGCCAAAAGTTGAGCTTACGCCTTCCTCTCCAGTTTCGACTAATGGCTCAATCCGACTCCGCAGGTCCAACGTCGCTGCCGAAACTCGCACGTCAATTGCTCCTTCCTCCCAGCCTTCCTTTAGTAGCATCATTGCCTGCTATTGTGATAATCGCGACGAAACCAATGATATAACGGAGCAAGAAACCGAGAACGTGATGCCATTGCCTCGTGCGGAGCACGCCACAGCACTAGTTTCATCTCCCAGTTTCGAAGAATGCCGTCAGCGCAACACTGCCTTATTCGACATAGCGGAACGTGATCGTGAAGGGCCAACTGCTCTCACGAACATCAGATCCGGCTCGCTCATGACCAGCCGCTGGTTATCATTCGGGAGGGTTCTCTTTAGTCCCGGACATGGCCATGTCCAAAGCGGAGATCAGGAAAGAATTTTGGTTGTGGATGGGCTGGGAAACGACGATTGGTCCTTCTATTGTGCCTTGACTTATCCCACAGCCAGTGTTTATAGTCTCAATGAGGGAGTCAATATCGCTACGTTCAAGCACCCTGCAGCATGGCAGCCACCATCAAATCACCACACGTTCTACCAGTCAACACTCAATGACCGCTTGCCTTTTCCCAAGGGATATTTTACTGTTGCTGTTCTGCGATTTCCCGCAGCTTGTGCGGAGAACACGCAAGCCAGACTTGTGTCTGAATGCAAGCGTGTTCTGCGCGCGGGAGGTTATCTGGAGATGAGCATCCTTGACCGCGATATGGTGAACATGGGCAACCGGACACGAAGAGCTTTGAGGACGCTAAAGGAGAGGACATATGTGTCCGACCCAGATATCAGCCTGAAGCCCGCGAGCGATAGCATACAGAAACTGCTTGGAAAGTACGGGTTCGATAATCTCCGACGATGTATGGTTCGTATCCCAGTTGCCGGAATGATCGTGAGATCGTCAGCATCCTCCACCTCCACTTCATCCTCGGACCCATTTGTGCTCGCTGCAACAACTGGCCCTTCAGGCAATGTTCCGCCCTTTACGAAGACTTCTGCGACTGTCTACCAAAAGCTTCATGGGAAGTCATCTTCCAATGATACAGACTTGTCTCTGGGTGACCTTCTATCTGATCCATCCCCGTCACCCACAAACGATGAATCGATCCGCAAGATAGTTGCTAAGGTAGGCAGGTGGTGGTACACGAGATGCTACGAGATCCCTATCCTCCCGAACGGCGATATAGCTCTCAGTATTTGGTCGGACCGGAAGGTGATCCGTGAATGTCAACAGCGTGGCACGGGCTTTCGCTTGTGGGTTGCATACGCCCAGAAACCTAGTGAGAAACGCCGAACAGCGAGTGTTTAGTGCATGTCTCAATACTCGAATGATCAGATGAAAGAATAACGACGATTGACGATACATACGAACATTGACGAAGGTTAAAAAAAACCGTTTATTGTGCTCACCTGATGATAATACCCTTCTATCATTGTTTTCTTCGTTTCAACTCGAACGACCACGGCCAGAAAGACAAGAGAGAGAGAAAGTATGAATGAAAGAAAGAAAGAAAGAAAAGAGAGAGAACAGACCGATGCTTTTGAAGACCTTTATCCACTTTATGCATATATTGTACCCTTTGACCTTACCCCTTTTTTATTTTGCCTAATACTGTGTTCAATTCTGGTTGTCTCTGGGCGGCTGTCTGAACCTTTTTTTTGTATCTGCGATTCAATTCTTCAGACGTCTTCCATGAAGCTGGCTTGATGGGCGGAATTCTGCTTTTTTTTTGTTGGTAGTACACCAAGACAAAGTCAAGACTCCTGAATAAGCGAAGGATTAATAGGGTCACACCATAATACAAACAAATTTTCAGCAAGGTGCACACAACAATTGTAATCAGGACTGTTTCTTTCTTACGAGGTGTTTCTGCGGTGACCAAAGGAGTAAACCCGCCAGGCCCAGTTGCAACCTGCAAGCCATTGCCATTGCCATTGCCATTGGGGAGAGAGTACAGTGTGCAGCACGCAGTGCGTGCAGAAATCCCACCGACCCAGCAAAAGGCAAAGCACTAGGTAGAAATCAAGAATAGTCAAGCATTCCTCCTCAGTATACTACGCTGCACGCCTGTACTATGCAAAACCGTACTATGCAGAACTCCAAGAACCCAAATCACACTCCCACCGAGACCGGCCCTGAAGAGGGACAGACAGACAGACAGACAGTGACTGACGGTGGGTGCAGATGTCTAACTTTTCATCCCCCGCTTTCCTTCACCCCCCAGAAGACCAAGCACAGTCAGTCAGGACTGTCATGGCAGACCGCCTCAATCCCGTCCGTCCGTCCAGTGGCACTTAACTTTTATTCTCCCTCTCGCGTCACCTTTCACTTTTCGCTTCTGCTACCGTCTCTGTTCTCCGTGTGAATGTTAATGTTGATGGCTATGTCCCGCACCCTAGCTTCTTGCAAGCGCAAGCGACCACATCCCATTCCCGAGGGCAGGAAATTCGAAAGTTAATTCATTGAGTTGACGATGCTATACGAGCCTTACCTCCCGCACGCGCCACTGTCCCCTGTCCCAGTCTCACTGTACGAACACGAACGTCCTGTACAGTACATACAGCTTTTTGCTTCTCTGGGAAGCCCGCCCTCTGCTCTGCCCTCTACCCTCTACCCTCTACGGTCTGCCGTCTGCCGTCTGCTCTGCTCTGCTCTGCCCTCTGCATATCCCGCGCGTCCCAGACCGCAGCACCGGATCGGAATTTGCATCATCGCGCAGGAAAGCGAAGAAACACACGCACTTACACACACACTGACAGAAAACGACATATCTGGAAGATTCGAAATTAAGCGAGGCGAGGCGAGGCGAGGCGGACGCCACAGCATAACTTTGTTTTCCAAGGGGGAGGAGAAGAGAGGGGGATGATGATTGTCCTGTGTATGATATCAACGGTGCAGAGGACGATCTCAATATTGTTGAGTTGTGATGTCCAACTAGCTGAAGAGATAAACACAGCTGTAGAGTATGATATCAGGAGAGGTGATTATCATAACTAAATTTGGGATGCTGGGTGTGTGCGGTGGAGGCCAAGGGGCGAGGGATTGCTTTTGCCTCAGGCTGGTTGGGTTCGGTATACTACTAGAGTTACTGGCTAGTTTGAAAGAATGTAATGAAGGGGAGAGGCGGCGGGATACTGTAGATTGCAGGGGTGGAATCTATTTCTAGAAAGTGATGGGATTCGCCTCTTTGGTCTGTCTGTCTTCGAGTGTATAGATGTATATGGATGTATTCGAGGGTTGCTTCTTGCAGTTCTAGATCGTACAGCATGTACTCCTTTTGCCGCTCAAAAAATGATTCACCTCTCTGGTTCTACAGAGAGGTCTGGCTTGTTCAAGGATTGCCGAGATTGTCCATCTTGGAGGGGATTTTACTGGTTCTGTTGACATCTGGACGGCGGGTAGGCGCATCAAGGGGCGGCGTTTGGAAGGGTCGCCCGTGGTCCATTGCCACCACTCGATCAGCGAGTAGGGATATATTCACACTGAGGGGGCGTTGTGATGTCGTAGACGTAGGGCGTTTGCATTGTCTCATATCAGTGGCGAGCCCCTGCACGAGGTGATGCTCTATCTGAATAGGACTACTTCACGAGGCGGGGAAGAAGAGGTGGCTGTGGCAAGGAGAATCGTACAACGTTTGGGAAGTAGGCTTCGAAATGGACCCAGACGGCGCAGGTCTGGAAAGTCACGGTGGAGGGGTCTATACCGATATGTGCTTACGGGTTGGGTTGGTTGGTTGGTTGGGAGGTTTGTAAGCATTGGCTAGAGACTGCCAAGAGGCCTAGGAAGAAGGTTTGATGCACCTTTGCTGCGTCCGTGGTTTGAAGTTGAATGTGCTGTCTGGCTTGGTAGCCTGATGCAGCGGACACACTGGGATTGAATGGCGTACCTCATGAGACGGAGATCGCCTCCTGCGCCGTTCTGGAAGAAAAGAACGGGTGCTGAATGATCTTTGTGACAGGCATGTGTCTCATCCCCAATCTTGCAGGCACGATTGTTCAAATGAGAAATTCTGATGGTCATGTTGACAATAGCATGGTGGCTGTTAAGCCATGGCAGGGTGAAGAGGCGCCAAGGATGTCCATATACCTGTGGATACTTGTATAATTGGCCATAGTATGATATAGACTCCCGTAGTGGCGTTGTCGCGACTGAGGGTAAGCGACTAGGCGCAGGAAGAGAGCATGAGTTGGCAGACCAGGGGCCACAACTGTTGCGTATATGATGTGCTACAGGGTGTCTGTACCCCGCAAAGGCTGTGCTCTCGTCAAGTGACTAGCTCGAGGATAGGGCGGTTGGGACCCAGTAAAAGTGCCAGGGAGAGGGAAAAGCTGTATGTCGTGATATTGCAGTGCGGAGGGGACGGATCGAAGCCATCCTGTACGGCCAGCTTAACGGGAGGCTGCTATAGCTGCACACCCCACATTCGCGGACCGCGATGCTCAACGTTTCCCATTGAGGAAGAAAGAGGGGAAACACGGTCGGCTGGCGATAAGTCGGACTGGAACTCGCACACAGCAGGGGGGAAGGAGGGGGTTTGCGCGCTCAGACAATGTGTATGGCATGTTTGTCACGTTGCTAACCTAGGCGTTACTCTCTTCCCTGCTAGTCAAGAAGTGGTGTCTGTGCTCGACGGGACCCCCGGTCCAGTGGCATTACCGTCCAGGCTTGCGTGGCGGAAGGATGAAGCCCGCGCTAATGGGACACTCTCCTCCGGTCGAGGTTGAGAGTCTGAATGCCCGAGATCAATGAAACTGAAGGTTTTGGAGCGGGGTGGACAGGACGGGCGGCTTGGATGTCTGTTGCATGGGGGTATAACTAGGTAGCTGTCATGTGTACTGGCGCGGTGTGTTTGCAGATTGCGGTTGGTCGGATATGCACGCCCATCCCTTGTTCTATCGTCAGTTGCTGCGCTGATGGTCACCCCCGGGGTTATTTGTTGCTGGCTAGTGTGGTTAGTAAGTGTATAATGTGCGTTAGATTGCATTGCTGCTGAGCATAAACAGCCATTTCTCAAAGATAGATCTGCCCTTCCGACTGATCCGTTTTGTGACAGCCTCTCTGTTCGGAGAGGCTTCAGTCTACTGCATCTCTCTGTATTCTCCGCGGATCCCCTCTCTCTGGTCTTGATCCCTCCTCACTTGTGGGGGTGGGCTGTTAAGCGAGTGATCAGATCCAAGGGGTCAACCACAACTTGGCCTGGGAATGTGGAGAATGAAGAATGAGGAACGAGCGGAAGTCATGCACTTTCGGCGCAAACAATTGGGAAATGACGACAGTGCCACGTGATTAGCCCACCGGCAGTGGGTATCGGCGGTGAAAGGCAGCAGAATGGGTGGGGAGAAGACGATGACGTCATCCAGCAACCAAGCTGCTGGCCCGGCAACAGAACAGAACATTACAGTACAGTACACTTAATACAGTACATTGCTTCTACAGACATATCACATTGATGCACACAATGAAGCTGCGGAGATCTTCTCCGCAGTATCTACTGCATGGCGGATGTAGACTAAGTAGAGATGGACTTCAAACCCAGATTGTATGCATGGAGCTTAGCAAGACACAATCGAAGCATTCCACTGGAGATATCGTTGAAAGCCTGTTATCTTCTGCAGTGACCACCGGCTAAGAGCGAGTGGCCTAAGGCACTAGATGCCTAGTAGGCTTACAAACTCTCTCTCAATGCAAAGTGAGAGTCTAACCACCAGAAGGGCTACAAAGGTAGATTCGTTAGGCCAAGGTCGGGTATCCAATCATTCGTAGAAAGGAAGAACCAAAGGCGAAAGAAGGTCAGCTCTATCTTCAAGACTCCTTCCTCGATGGAGACTGACACCGCAAGGATTTCTTCCGTGGCCATCGCGGATAACTGACTGGAGTAGCAAGGATTGCAGTAGAATAACGGTAGCACGCTGTACCACCACGATCGGAGATCAACGGGTTAGAGTGATTTACAAGCTTTCGAGAATAATGCCCGAGGTATCAATTGCCTGCATCAAACCCACGGCAAACTTCCAAATGGGGGGCTACTGCCCACCCTTATCGTGCATGCGTGAGTTCAGCTGCCCTCAAGATCAGAACCCATCGGCCATATCATGCTAATGATTGCGTTATCTTACAACAGAGCAAACAAACTTCGCCCAGAAGATCATTCTCCACAAACATCAATATGGTAGACGCGTTAACCACCTGTGTGACTCTGACCGGAACTCCTGGGAACGCAGATCACGGGGACAGAACTCTGGTCCATGCTCAGATCGAGCTGATAAGTGTTCTGTGTCAGTGGTTATGGCGGCAGTCGCCAGCCTTGGGCATTGAGGTAGAGTGATATAGAACAATTACCACGCACACCGGTCGAATACCACGCACGGGCCTGTCCATCCTTGCTGTTGTTCCGAGATGTCCCGTACCACCCCCGCAGGTCTATAGCTCCTGGGTTTGTAGCCCGACGAACGATGTCTATCACCGCGCAACTGATCCTACGGACACGGACGCCTTCCTGTACCCCAGTGATCAACAATCATGTGGTCCACGACTACACAAATTCAAAACTCCGCTCTACCATGCAACCCATTACTCGCGGCAGGCCAAAGCTGCTCAATCAGTGAGAGCTGCGGTTATCGGGTAACGAAAGTCACCTAAGTAACCCCGCCTATCTCTAAGGGCAAACAATCACGGCCGAGTCCGAGAGTTCATCGCAAGGCTCGTGAAGCTCAATAGCCGGCGAGAACCAACAGCACGCAATAGTTCCTGCATCACGATACACAGCATAGCCGTCGCGGCGTCAGTTCGGCGAGATAATGATGGGAACAACCAATCGGTCATCCTGATCACCCCAAGCGATTCATTTCGACGAGGGCAGCGCAGCTCAACAGAACACGAAGACAGATCCCCCATGGGGTCCCCAGCTTCATGAAGTGCTCGGAAGACAGTCGTGCGGGACAGCATCTCCACAAATTCCTAGCTTGCATGCAAAGCATTGGAGCTTGCGACGCAACGAGGAGGTCGAGACCACGTCGGCTATCGGATTAAACTAAAGCTGTATCGCGTGCTGCTGCTGCTGCTGCTAGTCCTCCACCAACCTTTCGCTGAAAAGGAAGATAAGATATCCTGTGCTGGACGAAATGGGCTGGATTTCACTTCTGTCATGCTATACCCTGGCCGCGGGGAGCCAATCTGATCTCGCGGGACAAGCTCTAGATACGAGCAGAGGAAGTTGACAGACTTTGTTGACCGCCTAGTGCGGAGAGTTTCGTAAGCTTTGACGCAAAAAAAGTTAAATTCGTTGATTTTGGAGACGCCCGTACTTTGACAGGGCTGGGAGCAGGAGGAGAAAAAGAGGAGGAAGTCGGAGTCTAAAGACTAAAAAGACGCCAGGGCTCGAACGTGGCGGTAGGGGCCGATCAGCGAATTACAGTGGTGCTACTCGGCGCCGCCTTTCCGCCAGGGCGCTCGACCACCCGCCGTAGTGCCAACTGTAGCAGAGCTGCCACAGCACTAGCAGAATTTTAGCACGACGAAGGTTAGAAAGAGGGGAAAGCTAGGGTCTATATTCCATGTCAGTGCTCGAAGTCTCAAACTCTGCTAGTTTCAGGGGGCTTGGGGGTTGGGGGCTTGGAGTCTCGGACGGCGTCTGAGTGGGAATTTAGTGTGATGCACGTCAATTGCAGTGGGAACCCACCAGAAGGCCTAGTCAGCTAAGAAAGGTATTGTATGTTGTGCTCGGTGATAACACGATAACAGTTACATCCTCTATCTGCAGATTGATCTGCTTCCCTCCGCCTTCAAGAAAAAAACATACCCTTTTGGCCACCTTTCTGGTAGGAACAGGGGTTCGATTTGGTTTTTCTCTCCCAGTCCTGCGTGAAACCCTGACAGGAAAAGGACAGACGGTCAGCACGGTGTGAGTATTGGGGCTAGGTTGAGCAGCGACGCAGCGGATGGCTTGAATGCTAGAAAATTAGTATGCTTCTGGATCTGCAGGAATGTGCAAGGCGCAATCAAATTAGGTGTCTCTAAGCCAAACCTCATAAGCTCGGAGAGGTCCTTGCGGGAAGGTCGATCGCGCTTCGGGAAGTGCCAAGAGACCAGAGTTGCATTAGATACATACATGAGTAGTAGTATCTTCTCGTTTCTCATGTCGCCCCCCATGCAGCAGGAACGGTCTGGTCGGTCTGGTCGCTATGTGCAGTCCAGTCGGCTTGATTAGTCCGCCTGTCAATCAGCCCAGATGAGATTGCTGTCCCGTTAATGGATGAGAGAGATGCTGAGTCTCCGCCGTGGCTTGTGGCAATTTAGACATGATGTCCTGGGGAGGAGCGAATTGAGTTGCGCAATAGAGGAGACCAACCGGGGGACCGGGGAACCGGAGGCGCCGTGTCGTGCGGTGAGTCGAGACAAGATAAGACCGGCATGGGGCATGGGGATGGGTGAGACAAGCGCCCGCCCGAGATGGAAACCCCCTTCAAAACGAGAAAATGAAGGTAGAGCGACAGGTACAGTCGAACGATCTCGTTCTGGGTGATCCGTGTTTTGGAAAAGTGGCCGTGGTGGTGGTGGTGGTGGTGGTGGTGGTGGAGAGAGAGGTGCAGTGAACGATATACCTACCTATTTTGGGGAGACCGAGCCAGATCCCCGGCCTATCCTGATGGGGGCGGAAGCCCTTCACCTCAGCTACAGATTTTAGCGAGAAGGTTAATTAATGAATAAAGAGGTCTGGACATTACAGCAGACACACACAAAACCCTACTTGGAAACAGGAATTGCATGATATTGGAGATACCTCGTCTTTCTCGAGTCTTATTGATCAATGCGCTTAATCTACATGCGGCACGTCGCACCATTGATACAAACTCCTCGAATGAGTCGACAAAAATATGTACCCTGTACGGAGTAGTTTGAGCGAAGATGAAGTCTTGTATTTAGGGTGTCAGGTTGTTCAATTGGGTGGCGAAAGTGGTGGTCCTGTGCGTAGTCCGATCCCGCACCGATGGGGACAGCATCATAGCCCGATCGTGGTTATCGTTACTGGTTATCAGTCATATCATTCATATCGATGATGGGCCTCGAGTGCCAAGAAATGTGACATAGGGTGGGCCATCGAGACTTTTATAAGGGTCATCGCCCGACAACGGAAGCAAGCGTTCATCTCCAGGCTCCATTTCTCCATGCTCTGTTTGTGTCTCGGCTCTCGGTTGCAGAGCAGTCGGCCAGTCTGTTTGGCCAGACTAAGGCAGCACAGAGGGCAGTGGAATTTGCAACTCCCCTCATGGTCTGTGCTGACTCCAGAAAATTTTTGAACGTGACGACGGGAGAACTGACACCACCAAGAATGCGTCTCGACCTTCGACCCGGCAAACAGTGCTCCAGCAGGTGCAGGGTACTGATGTCATAGCCCGGGAATTTCCTTGGAAAATCAGTCGTTGGCCCGAACGACGCTAGTGCTTAGCACATCCATGAAATTTAACCACTCCAGTTTAACGGGTGGGTAACCAAGCCCGGACTAGTGTAGCCCTTCCTCCACCCCCACTTGAAAATTGTATGAGTAGAAAAAGTCATCTAGGCTCCGAAGTCCGAGGAGATGATATTCATACATGATTTCGGACTCTTCGAGACCAGAAGAATAAGCAAAACCACACCCGAGAAAAGGGACTTACTATATACTCCCTGTACTTTAGTCTAGCTAAGTAACTTACTGTGCGTGCCTTTGCTACTCTAGACGTGCAGCTCCAGCAGCTGTATCGAGGTGGATCTTCCACGCCTATAAACTTTGCTTGCTTCTCTTGTCCATCACACATCTGCATCTTCGTCTGTAGAAGTTTTCGCTTCAGTATCCCAAATTGTAAACTCCCACGCTGATCAG